CACAATTTAGGAACTTACGTCACACTTTTGCCGCTCGGCAATTGGCTGGTAGCCGCCGTCTTGCTGGACCACCGGATAGATGTTAGGGTCACTGATCAGTCTCACCGTCCTGCGGTGATACCAATCCATGTAACCCTCCTCAGGCTCTAGGAAATGATCCACGGGTTGATGTGGGAGGACATGTTGGTCTCTCTGTTCGTCCTACGGTGATACCAATCCCGGATTTTCTTACTCCTGAACCTAGTCACCACATTGCTTCGAAGGTGTCGAAGACAAATCCGGTGATACGCAGCGGGTTCTTGCCAATCCGGTAATGATTCAATCGCACTGCGTAGCCCCGCATCCCTGTCAGAAAGAATGCATATCTGTGTAGAGCCGCCTACAACATATCGCCGCAGATTCCTGAGGAAAAATGACCAACTGTCCGTGCTTTCTTCGTCGACAAGCGCATACGCGATTGGCAATAGCCGCTTATTCGCAGTCTGTGCTACGGCCACGATCAATTTTCCTTTGTAATGTCCACGTAAATGAGTGCCATCGACGCTAATAACCGGCGGACACATTTGGAAGGTTTGAATCGCGGGACCAAACGCCCAGAACACAAATTTGAATTCTCTGTTTGGAACGTGTCGCGCCATATCACCACCCTGAAATTCCCAATCTACAACTGTGTTTGGATTCGCTCTTTGAAGTTCGAAAAAATATCTGTACAATACCAATAATTTCATAAATAAATAAACATCATGACAGATAAAAAAACACGTATATTTGTAATTAATTTTGCTTACTGAGGGAGTTCTGCGAAGTTCGACTCCCAACTACCGTACACACACTCGATTGCTTTTTTCCTGCCGTGCCATGCCTTCTTGTAACTGACGTCGACTTTCCAACACTGCTTCACATCAGCCTGGACCATAATGTTGTACTCCACTTTCCTCTGAATCTTATTAATTATAAGATTCGCAATCATATGGGCGGTCACGTTTCTGTGGTCATTTCTGTCGACCTGTTGCATGCAAGTGTGTTGGTCAGTCCATTCAGTTACTTCCCACAAATCATCACGCCGTTTGGCCTTATTCACCCGAGCCTTCCGCAGACAAGGCACATCAGCATTCGAGTTGCAGACCACTTTGAATGTCTTCTTATTTGAATCTTTTGTCCGAATCTCCCGCAACCTATCGACGTTCCAAGCCATTATACCCGTTTGAGCTTCTTCCTTGCTCCGGAATACTGTATTCAAACGTATGGACTCAATGTCGCCATTCCAGAGTGGATAAGCATACTCGTTTGCATCTATCCTAGAGGGGTCCCATTCACCCATCTCGCGGTATATGTGCCGACCACCGCTAGGAAATGGGTGTTCTTCTTCGAAGAACTCGGCTTCACTCTCCTCATTAACCGATCTATCTGATTCGGCCCATTCTCTCGATGTCCCTTCTCCAAAATTAGGTACATGAGAAGTCGATGTATCCTCGACATCAAACACTCCCCCGTAACAAGGAGTAAAATCCTCAAACTGTGTAACGGGTGTATTCGCCTGCAACGATAAATGCAAATACACCATGGACATACTAGGAAAGTAATAATTTCATTCAAAACTATAGTTATTGAGTATTGTGGGACTCCATGAACCATCAGGTTGACTAATCATCATAGTAATCTCCTGAATTGTCCAACCTTCTTCAAACTGACATTTTGCATTAATCATTTGTACCAACTGTTCATATGATATTCTCCCCGGAATAATAAATGAACCACTCGGACGATCTTTAAACGAAACAAAATCACTTAACATTTCCTTCCCAAAATGCCAGTACAAGTTAACAAGGTACGGACCGGGAGAAGCCATTTTATACCTGTTGCAAAAATACACTTTCAATTCTAAATAAAATTTAAAACTCAATTTTTTACTCCAACAAAAAAAAGAAAAATTAAAAAAAATTCTCAATCAAATAATCATCCAAAACCTAATACTCATAATCGAACAATAACATAAAATTCATGTATAATTCGAATAAATTGAAAGCTCTAATTATAACCCTAATTTCAAGCAACCCTAACCCCAACAACAATCAAACAATAAACAATTGACAATTTACACACAAAATTTCAATCCTCAATTCAACATACACACATAATCGATAAACAATTAACAATTTTCAATCTTCAGACACAACCACATTCAAACATATTATAACAATCCTCAATCTCCAAACAACTCCAAATAATGTAAAAAGTAAAGATAAGCCAATATACCTCGTGCGAATGAATTAATCGAAAATGAGGCTCGTATCGGTGTTGTCGATTCACACCGAGGTAAAGATTGGATCGACTTTTTTTTCCGAAGTTTTTCGCTTCTTCTTCTTCTTTTTTTCTGCTCTCTCGCGTATGAAATGGAGAGGAAAATATTTTTTTTATATTTAATATTAACAACGTATTCTGAGAATACGTCCACCGACATTTTTATTTGTAAACCGTATTCTCAGAATACGTTTTAATTTAAAAATATATTTTTTTTTAAATTCTTCTGCAAAACGTATTATGGAAATACGTTTACGATAAAACGTATTTCCATAATACGTTTTCCGTTTTATATTTACTATTTTTTTTATTAGAATAATATATTTAATCGAAGTTTCATTTTTATTTTTTTTTTAAAAAATAGAAGACGTATTCTCGAAATACGTTGTTATAGTTAATTTTTTTTTAGAAAACCGTATTCCGAGAATACGGCTGTTTGATTTTGTTCCACACATTTTTTTTTTTGTTTTATTTTTGTCTACTTATTTTTTTTTTTAAATAAATAAACTACCCTAAAAAGCTGATATGAAAATATATTATAATATGCAATAAAATGCGTATAATTGAAATAAATATTACATTTGATATCAAAATTGTAATCATGACACAATTGGTGAATTGTTCATTTGGCATTTTTTGATTGAAATGAAAAATCCATGGGTAGCATTTGTCCGATTTTATTAATCAATATCTATATTAACACACATTGAGGATATTATTCAGATTGCCAAATCAATTTTTTTATTTATACTCATCCATCCTTTTTTATTATTTTATATCATATATCATATATGTAAGTAAATCACACGTTTTCTAAATGTTTGATTTGATATCAAAATAGGAATCATACCACAATTTGTGCATTGTCTATTTTGAAATTTTTGATTGACAATCCATAGTTGGCAATATTTGATTTTATCTATTTTTCATTACCAGTGAATTCCAATATTCATTTTTTTTCTATATTAAAATACAATCAATTTGATTGATTCAAGTCAAATTGGTTGAAATTTCGAATCACACCTTAAATAATTGTCAAATTATTATTTTTATATTAATCAATACATTTGTTTTTTTATTTTTTAATATATGTTAATAATTGACACGTTTTTTAGAGGTTTGATTTAATCTAAGCTTGTAAATCTTTAGAAAATAATTGCATAATTGGCAAAACAAATCATT